TGACTTGGACTGATTGATGGAATTGCTATATGTATAAGTGGAGGTCACACCTTCGATCAACTGGAATTGCAATGCCTTGCGCCGAACTAGAAATGGACACAGTTGGGTTAAGAATCTAGCTAGGTTCATCATATAGGCACTTTAATTAGATCCTTTCTCAATGATTGGTGATTGTATGTATATACATATGTGTGTGTGTGTGTGTGTGTGTGTGTGTGTGTGTGTGTGTGTGTGTGTGTGTGTGTGTTTGTGTGTTTTTGTGTGTGTGTGTGTGTGTGTATTTCAAATGGAAGGAGCTAGAAGAGTTATCATTGCCAATTTTTTTTAGCTTTATGCTAATAATTCACCAGATCAAAATGGTTATGTTAAATTTCAGTGCTTCTTCTATTAGTGAAGTTGCTGGAAATAAATATATCAAATGATGCAATGTACCCTGCGTTGCAACAGAAATAACCTCTTTGTGTAATTACAAGAGTAAGTCTGCCTACAATTCATCCATAGACCCCATCTTAGTGGGGACTATACTGGATATGTAGATGTTGATGATATATACTTTTTACTTTTCAGGTAGTTGTCTTGAACTACTTGATACTTGCCTTTGTGGTACACTGATTTAGTTGAAAATGTTTCAATAATTTTGGGGTACCAACCCTTTCTTGATTTTAATAAAAGTATATATACAGTGTTAGTGGGTACGTTAATGAACTCGGTGCTTACCTTTTTATAATATATACTTATTCCTCCTAGGATTGTAGAGATGGATAGAAAGTTTGTCAGCTCTAGAAACTTTTCGAGGAACTTAGCTTAGCGTGACAGTTCGCCAGCATTAGTTTAGAGTAAAATGTTAAACAAAGTACATTATGTAATTGCAAGGAAGACTAATATTGTGTAGTCAATAGAAACTGAGAGGTTATTAAATTTGATGTAATTTAACGGTGATAGAATCTTTCCCATGATAAGTTCTGAACTTTTTCCAACTTTCGCTAGAAAAGAGTAAAATAGTGTGCCTTGGACAAGAGCTTAGAAGACATATCGGCTTTACTGATTTCATATGTTATCTTGTTAAATGGAAGCAAAAAAAAAGGACTTTACAAGCATGTGAATCTGAGGTGATATAGGTGAAGCACGGTAGCAGATCATTAGGGATGGTGTTAGAATTTTTGGAGTTAAAATATATTGGATAAGGTTTTTGAGGTGTTGAAAGTCTAATATTAGGGTGGAATAACTATAATGCAAATGGTTTTTGAGAAAAGATTAAACCTCGGAATGTGATTGTTCAATCTCATATTGGGAATTATATCAGACCTCTATGGGAATCACCACCCAGAGAGGTAAATTGTAACCCTGCATTGGATAAAATGATGCGCAGGCCAGGTTGCAACATGTGCCATAGGATACTCAAAGATATAGGTTGAGATATCCCAAAAGTAACATTAAATTGTTAATGCTGTTCTTAGAATTTGGTAGATTTAGTTTATGCTTCGTGTAAGTATGATGGTTACATTGCTTAAATCTTCAAAGTTTTACTGGAAATTGCTAATTACAATGCTATTTGATTATTGTTGATCAATGCTATATTGTATATGAATAATTTCAACGACATGATGGTGATTCCTGAAGTAACGTTCAATATTGATATGATTTCGAACGATTGCAAAATAAATTATATTGATAGTACTTAACTAGGAAATCGTGATAAGTTTGAAAGAATAAAGACGGAAAGCAATTGACAATCCAAAAACCAAAGTATCTAGGTGTGATAACCTCATATATATAAAGAGTTTTCAAGGAAGAATTATCGACACATTAATAGTAGAAAAAATTGTTATTGCTAAAGAGATTAAGTAAACTTCAAATTAGTTATGATTAGATTTGAGGCACTTAGAACATGTTTGGAGAATATCTTGAGCTTGGAAATTATTATGATGACAAAGATCTCACATGTTTGGAGGAAAATGTTTAACATACAAATGCGGGATTTGTATTTTAAGTCGAATAAAGACCATGGTCAAGATATATCTATGTTATGAATCAAAACACGATAAAGTTACGTGCAACTTTGCGCGCAAAATGAAGAGCAACATACCAAATCTGTAGCCTTACATTTAAAGGTGTCAACCATTTTTTTTTTAATGGAACAAGCTCCGTTCAAAAATTGATTGATCCAGCTAATGGATACCATCCAATACATTATGACAACATTTAATGAGATAAACACAAAGTTTGGCAACCAATATACTAATCAAATCAGATAATAAAATAACAATCTCCCAAGATCACCCTCAAACCCCTCCACAAATTTCTCAAAAACCTTCAGACTTAACTTCTAGAAGATGCAACTCTGGCCATGACACGCTTAACATATTTGCGGTATCTTCCATCAACAAAAGTCAAATTACTATTTGTAATATGGAATATAGATCAAGTATTTCCACAACCAAAATCTGGCTTAGCTGCCACATAAATGGCTTCTTCCAATAATTTGATTACTTCTTCGTGGGTTCTCACATATTCAATATTTCTATTAACATGTTTTCTAGCAGAGTCCCCTCCGCTCCCTATGGCATCCAACACATAGTTGACTTCCCCTAAATATCCAGCAATTCTTATATTTCCAGCTATTTCTCCTCCATTTATGCGATAAATAGACGGATGACATCCCTGATATCCAACCAACAGAATTTCTGGAGAGTCTTTCTTTGAAGTATAGACATCATCATCATCATCATCAGCATTAGCAACAGCAACACTTTTGTTTGTCTTCTTTTGGCAGTTGAGGCATCTATATGTTTTGGGATTCCATAGAGGATGTCAAAAGCTATCCTCAGTGCAGATAGTTTTTTGCCGCATTTCGTCTTTTCAAATATCCGACAATTGGCAAATGATTGGTTAAGAATTTGTTCGCCGTATCACCTGCCAAAAGACCCATGAGCCTAGGTTGGAGTTGCACAGACTTGTTTGGATAGTCTCCTAATTCAGAAAAAGGGGATGTTCTTGATGTTAAAAATGCAATCGAGAATCAAAGGCAATATAAATTCATGTTGCACATCGAAGTGTTACAATAGCAGTCCCTTTAACCTTAACAGAACGCAAAAGCCTGATCTGTCAGCCATAAAAAGCACAAATTAGAATTAGTAATTACAAAATAAAAAACTGTAAAAAAACCAAGGCTGTGGTGAACAAAAACTAAGGCATGTGTTGCTTTGCAAAGACATCTATTTTCTCGATAATCGAGGGAATTGATAGCCTAAAATCTTTATTGCTTGCTATTTTAGATGGTGTCGTCTACAAAGTACTATTTTTTAGGTTATAATTGCTCCAGTCAGTTGGAAGTGTTTACCAATTTTTTTGGAAAGGGTTGCATTAGATACTTGTAATTATACTTAAAGAGATCTTAACTGACACCCCGGGATCATTGTTTGAAGTTTTAGCTAACATTTATTATCTAGAAATTCAAAATTTATAAATTAAGAGTCCTAGGAAGTGGATTCCAGAGTGATCAAAATGGCTCTCTCTCCCTACAATTCGGGATTTTTGAGAGAGTTTCAAAAAGTTTTAAAGCTATCTAAACAACATATGTTTGATCTATTTTATGACAAAAAAATTATATAAAATGAAAGATTGTGAGTTGAGGAGGTTTATGCAATAAGAATACTCGCAACACTTTGTAAGTGATTGTATTGGTAATGAACAATAGTAAAAAGAGATTGCCTTAAGTTGTGTTTTACTCACGAAAATAAATTATCTCAACAAAAGTTGCATGCATCCTACCACTTAATATAGTTTTATATCTAACTTATATCTTATATTTTAATGAGTTCATAGATCTAAGTATCAGATTATTTACGTGAGAATAGAAATTAGAACCATAAGCACCAATCAAAGACACATACATAGTGAGATCTTCTTCTTTTTTATTTTTTATTTTTTTTCCCAAACACCCCCAAAAGTCGTAGTGGTTTTCAAAACTGCATATTGACCACTTGGCCATTATTTTTGAAAATTTCATAAACAACCAAAGACCATGATGGCTTTCAAAAACCATATTTTCAATAGCTAACCAATATTTTCTAAAAATTATAAAAACCACAAAAATAATTCAAAGAGCATTCTCCCAATAGTTAGTCTCATTTTTTTTTTTTTTTGTGTTGTTCACAGCTCCATTTACTAATCCACATAATTAACCTTACATAATGTTTATCCTTGGAACTTCATTTACATAATCATTATTCTATTTTTCTTTCTTACCCAAACAAATAGCGCAAAAGTTGTTCGAGCTGATGATGTCATCGCTTGTCTTCTCTTCTCTGGACATAAAATTCAAATTGGTCTCTACTTTCCACCACATGTCCATGAGAAGCATATATGGTTACCCCATCCAAGAGTGACGGAGACAGAATTTTTACGTAGAGAGTGCAAAATAAATCAATACGATAAGTGCACTAAAACCCAAAAAATAGACATGCTCTGGTTGACGAATTGATAGTAATCTCATTTATTAGTAGTTACCTTGAGCATGGTCGAGCAGGCTGCAAAACCTCTTGCCCGACCTATAAGGCTATGTTATTTGTTTCGTACTATTATTGAAATAAATTTTGGAATATTATCCAATCTCTTAAGTGCGCTGGCTTTCAGGTTTGGATTCTTGATGCCACCCCTGGAAAATTTCGAGCTGGTGGAGATGGAGTTAAGCATCCGACTAAACAAATTACTTTTTTGAGTAGTTTGCCTGCCAAGGTGAGTGCTTTATTTAAATTTGTAACTGTTGTTCTAAGCTCTGTAGAGTTAATTAATGAAATTCGAAACTATGAGGATAACTCAATGGTGTTAGGAATAAATATGATGATTTCCTCCGTGCTACTCGTATAAGCTGATTTCACATAGTCATTATTCCCTTTTTTTAATTAAAAAAAATTGGATGTCCCAACGAGAATTGAACCCTCAACCTCTTGAAAATAACCATCCCCGATCCTAATCTTCTAACCACCCTATCCAGCCCTCCCACCCTCACATAGTCATTATCCTTTCACATACTCATTTTTAATAAAAGACAAATTAAAAACACAAAAAATCCTTTTGATTGATGGATGGAAAAGGGTAGATCACTATAGGGTAGATCACTGCATAATTAATTTATAATATAATGCAATATAATAGAGTAGGTATCTTAAATTAATAAACAGGAACCTTATTAAAAAAAAAAAAACTACAGTTTTTCTAGTTTTGGAAGGGCTTGAGACGTTTCTTAAGTTACAGTGGGAACCGAAAACGGAAAACAGAAGACCAAATTTCTTTTTCGAGAATCAAGTGATATCTGAATCTGATTTGCAGGGCATTTTCCCTCCAATTGCTACACGCCACAATTTCTCGTCATCAACTGAATGTGACACCGGTTGAGAAGCTTAGATGGGGATGAAGTGCTGCAGTAACATCACCCCACCAGTCAGTATTTACCTTGTACCATTCAATTGTATTTCTCAGCCCTTCCTCCCAAGAAGTCCTTTCCTCCCAACCTAAGTTCTTCAGTTTTTGGTCATCCAGGAAATATCGCTTGTCATTGAAAGGCCTATCTTCTACAAACTTGATAACTTCTTTGGAGTTCCTTCCGAATAATTTGCATATATCCTCAGCTACATCTAAATTACTCCTTTCTTTCTTCGTTCCGATATTGTATACATTTCCGATAACCCCTTTATGAAGTATGATGTCGAAAGCCTCCGCAACATCTCCTGAGTAAAGATAGCTTCTGACGTTTGATCCATCGCCATGAATAGGTAAATCTAGCCCCTGCATTGAACGAAGAATTAACTTTGGAATGAGTTTTTCAGGGAATTGATTTGGACCATACACATTATTCCCCCTAGTGGTGATTGTAGGGAGACCATAGGATCGATGATAAGCCATGACAAGCATCTCAGCTCCAGCTTTAGTAGCTGAATACGGATTTGTAGGAAGGAGTCTGGAACCCTCGCAGTTTCCAATATTAGTCTCCATATCTGTCTCGCCATAAACTTCATCAGTACTAACATGGATGAATCTCTTGATCCTTCCGGTAACCTTACAGGCTTCAAGAAGTACATGAGTCCCAAGGACATTATTGTTGGTGAACTCGAAAGAGTTTCCAAAAGAGTTGTCAACATGTGTTTGGGCTGCAAAGTGCATTATTGTGTCAATATCCTCAGCCTCCAATAGGTGGTTCATGAGATCATCACTCAATATGTCCGCATTGACGAACTTGAAATTCGGCAATTCAAAGCTGGGATTTAAATTCTTTAAGCAAGAACAGTATTCGAGCTTGTCTAGGGCAACGATTCTGTAGTGAGGGTGTTGCTTAACGAGCCTGTTGGTCACATGGGAAGCTATGAAACCCGCAGCGCCGGTTATCAGGATGTTTTTAGGTACAAATTCATGTGCTGATCTTGATGACATTCTGACTTCAAATCAAAGCTTTCCGCTATGCATATGCAAAACCAGGGCAAAAAAAGAAGCTGCAAAATTTGAAGAAAGATCAAGCAATCTTGAAAATAAAAGGCCCTGATATTATTTGTAAAATTTCTGGAGACAAAATCATCAATTGCAGCATCAAGTCATCCACGATATATAGCCATCATTGATTCTTATCATTGGCTAAATAACAGATTGCACATAAAAAATGAGAGTTAATATGAAAGGAATGCGTACCTCAAAATTTATGGATTGATTTGGACACTAAACTTTAAGTAGGATATATAGAAGCTCTATGTGAAGAGTATTTATTTGTTTACTCAATTGAGATTGTAACAATTTTGACACCTTTCTTCTTTTTTTCTTTTTTTTTTTCCAAATGTGACGAATTCACTATCTATCTTTACCATTCTTTTGCGTAGTAAATAAACAAATCACAAATATGGATCTAGCAAATTAATCTCACATCATCATTATTCTTCTTAACATTTGTACAAACCAGAGGAAGTGATCCGAAATGATCATACCGTTAGCACAGTTTTATTGTTCTTCCTGCATTGCTTAGTTTGGATATAGTGTTTCTTCTCCCCCTGCATACAGAATATGACATTTCAATTTCTTTTTTTAAAAAAAAATTCCCAAAAAAAAAGGTAGCATTTCCTCAAATGATCTGACCATTCCAAGTACACCGGAATGAGAATTCTTCAAACAAAAAATGACACTGAACAAATGTGGGATGTGTGCTTAGATCAATGAAAGAGCCGACACATAGATCAATGAAAAATATTTTGGATAAATAAAGAGGTTATGAATCTCACTACGAAGCAGATCACTAAAGGTAGATAATATTCTGAAGCTGGACAAAATCCACGATGATTGTGATAAAACATTCTTCAACCCATACACATGTTAGTGTCGGAGCCAGAAAATCAACAGAGTGAGACAAAATTCACCAATAAATTTTGTATATGTGCAATGATGAGAAGCTGAAGCGACCAAACCAAAAAAAGAAGAGAGAAAAAAAAAAGAAAGAAAAAAGAAGTGATATTGCTAAAGATCTTTGTTCAGCTTACCAGATCATTTCGCATTACTGATTGTGATGAAGTCTCTGAGAATGCCTACATATTAAAGTATAGGAAAGGAAACAGAAGTTAAGCTTACATTCTTAGATATAGTAATATTGATAATGGAGGATTTTTTTTTTTTAAAAAATAAAATTTGTTCTTCCAAAAAAAGGGAAGATTAACAATTTTATGCCGTAACATTAGCAAGATTTAGCGGGTCCATGACCAACTCTATATTGGGTAGAAAATTTACATTAGGCCTAATTCAAATGAGGATTTTCTTCACAAAAAATTGTAGCTTTTTACTCTTTTGATTTTTTTTAATTCCTTTTTTTTTGTGGTCGAAAACCACTCATTTTTTCTTCCATTGAAACTTGAAAGAAACGTACCATATTTATTGGGAAACCAAAGCGTGGGAACTCTAATTATAGTACGAGGAAGATGGGAGTTAGTAGGTACGTAGACGTAGTAGTGTAGATATTGGCTTCCAATATCAAACTTCAACTTGTATCTTCCCCCATAATATCTGCCATATAATATGGTCTTGAGTTTTGACTTGGCTTGTGACTGATTCATAAAGGCCAGCAAAGTGTTTTTTTTTTTTTTTCAAAAAGAAAGAATGAAAATCAAAATTGGATATGTCTTTAATTACGTACTTCCCACAAGCTAGACCTTGAGAAGGTTCGGTATCATTTTGGTCATATATCAAGGAAAAAAAAAAAAGGCTAGTCCAAACATCTACTATATATTAATTCCTTCATCGATCGTAAGCCACAGTAAGCCAGATATACCACATATAATATTCTTCAACAAGCGAAAATGGAGAATGGAAATTTACGGAAAGGCCACTGTTTAATTTTACCATACCCACTCCAAGGCCATGTGAACCCTCTACTACAATTCTCAAAGCGTTTGAGATTCAAAGGAGCCCAAATCACTCTTGTCCACACAAAATCATTCATCAATCGCATCAAAGACTCGTCGGCGACGTCGTTGTTCCCGTCGGAGACAATCTCCGACGGGTTCGACGAAGGAGGAGTCCAGCAAGCCGGCAACTTCCAACTCTACTTCTCGAGATTCCAAGAGGTGGGTTCCAGAACTCTCGGAGAACTCATCGAGAAGCTTCGGGATTCGGGTTCTCCGGTGGACTGCGTCGTGTACGACGCGTTTCTGCCGTGGGTTCTCGACGTGGCGAAGAAGTACGGCGTCGCCGGGGCGGTTTTCTTCACTCAGTCGTGTGCCGTGGGTGATATTTACTACCATGTTTGTAAAGGGGTGGTGAAGCTTCCTCTTGATGATCACCGGAGATATTATGAGATTCCCGGATTGCCGGTTCTTGAGCGTTCGGACTTTCCGTCTTTCGTTACCGCGCCGGAGATTTATCCGGCCGCCCGTGAAATGGTTATAAATCAGTTTTCTAATGTTGACAAAGCTGATTGGGTCCTTTTCAACACATTATACAAGTTGGAACAAGAGGTTGGTCTTCTCCGTTCCTTTCTCTCTTTTTAATTTTTTTAATATTGTTTTATTTTCTAATGTTGATTTTCTTTGGGGGACTGAATATACATGTTACGTGGTAGTAATATAGCTGATTCCCAAATATAATACTTCTTCCGTCCCAAAAAGAAATAGTTCACTTTAAGTTTTGGAACTTGTACTAAAAATAGTACAAATATGAAAATTCAATGAGAATTATGTTTTAGAACGGAGATAGTATTTTTTTAATGTCCCAACTAATTTGGATTTGAACTGTTCACCTCAAACACTCTTGACAGTTTTGTCAATTATTTTTGCATGTATATAACCCCGGATTTGAACTAGACTGTTGGTTTATTTTAAAATACATGAAAAATGCACCAGAGTAAATTATGTTCTTTTTAAGATATTGATTAAATACTTAAATCTTTGATTTATTGACTTGGAAGTTTATAACAGTAAGGCACAATTATATATTCATTCCGTCTCAAAATTACTGTTTAGTTTTAGTTTTCACTTTTAGTTCAATTCGTACTAAAAATGAAAATTCAAATAAAACAATAATTTTAGGATGGAGGGAGTACAATCTTTACGATTGCTCATATAAATACAACTTTTTTTCTTAAACGTGCATAAAAATTGTTGTTAAAGCTCTATTTGTAAAGTTTCCACGAGTGCAAAATAAAAGTAGGAGAAAACTTCACATGGAACGAAATAAAATGAAATTAGAAATCTAGAATTCGACGGAACTATTTATGAATGACCGACAGAGGAAAAAAACAGTTTTTTTTTTTTTTTTAGAACAAAAACATGGCTCTCTGGAGAATGTTTTTTGTGGACGTGAGAATTATGGAAGTCTACGTCGACTTGGTTGACGCTTCTGAATTTGTTTGGTTCATATATCCTATTTGTTCATTCAACTTGAGAACTAAATGATATAGTTTGTCTAAGAGTCAAGTTTTAAGTAAATGGATCACTCATTTTTGTCGATCATCACACGTCACACAAGTAATCTTCCATTCTAATTTTATATTTTCATAATCTACTTTATAAAATTATTATACTACATCTGTATCAGACAAATAATTTACATTGAATTTTCAAATTTGTATTAAAATTAGTGTAAATGTTAAAACTCAATGTGGACTTTTTTTTTGGGACAGATGTGGTACACACACAAAAAAAAAAAAAAAAAAAAACAGAGAAAAGTAGACGGTTACAATAAGCCAAAAAGAATATTATTGCTTTGAGAAAATTGAATAGACTAGCTACTGACTTTTTCATCTTAAAAGAATACGTATTATTTTCCACATTTGAAATTTTGAGGCTTATTCTCAAAACTTAAAATAGTTCATTGTCAAATGGGATTCACGGAACTTATGTATGGATTCATGGCCATAGGTGATTGACTGGATGTCAAAACTTTGGCCAGCAATTAGGCCAGTTGGACCTACCGTACCATCAATGTACTTAGACAAGAGGCTTCAAGATGACAATGATTATGGTATGAATATATTCAAACCAATGGGTGATACTTGCAGAAAATGGCTTGAACAAAGAGCAAACAAATCTGTAGTTTATGTCTCATTTGGAAGTTTAGCGGCGCTCAATTCAGAAGCAATGAAAGAATTGGCATGGGGATTAAAAATGTCAAATAAATATTTTTTGTGGGTTGTAAGGTCTTCAGAGGAATCAAAATTACCCGAAAATTTTGTGGAAGAGAATTCCGAAAAAGGTTTGATCGTGTCTTGGTGTCCCCAGTTGGAAGTTTTGTCGAACGAATCAACTGGGTGTTTCGTCACTCATTGTGGGTGGAATTCGACGTTGGAGGCGTTAAGTTTAGGGGTGCCACTGGTAGCAATGCCACAATGGACGGACCAAACTACAAATGCCAAATTTGTGGAAGATGTTTGGGAAATAGGAATTAAGGCAGGGGCTGATGGGAATGGGATAGTTAGAAAAGAAATGATTGATAAATGCATAAAGGAAGTCATGGAAGGAAAGAGAGGAGAAAAAATTAAGGAAAATGCCAGAAAATGGAAAGAATGGACACTAGAGGCTGCTCACGAAGGGGGTAGTTCTGATAAGAATATTGATGAGTTTGTTTCCAAGTGCAAGTTGGGTCCTTATCCAAAAAGTTGATAACATCATAAATTAGTAGTAATTATGTTAATGATCCATCAAAAAAATAGAAACTTGTTGAAAAATCATTGACTTGAATGGCAAAATTAATATCCAACAACTCGTGCTATTCTTTCCTCCATTTTTGACTTCTAAATTCTAGTATTAAATTGTATCAAAATTTACTAAATTACAATTTTTTTTGGCTATAAATAGAGGAGGAGATGAAATGTATCAGATGCACCAAAATATATATCAAAGGCAAAAACTTTCATTCCTTCTCCTATTTTTCTTCAAATAAATTTGTTTTAATTTTCTTTCTTTCTTCTTAAATCTTATAAAGTTATATCATAATATCTAAATTATAAATTGAATCTTTATATTAAAGTCTCTAGTAGAGAAGTTAGAAATATTATCACGAAATAAGTTTATTACTTCCTTCATTCACGAATAGACGTCGTTAGAGGAAAAATCAAATATTTCAAAATAAATGCCGTTCTCACACTTGAGGCATATTTTGTCATTTTTTTTTTCAATATTACCCTTACATTGAAAATTATAGTGATGTTTAATGTAGAATTGTATTAGAACTCAATTTTATTGGGACTACAATTGAATTAAGAATAAATGAGGGTATTATAGTATTTTAAACAAGATAATTATTGCCTCCTTAAACTTTGTGAAATCTCTCCAGCGACATCTATTTGTGAATGGAGGGAGTAGTTACTTTTGCTTTGGATCATTATATCTAGACTTTAATTTTTCACAACACGTTATTAGCACGACGTCTCTGCAATCCACAAAGGTATAAACTTTCTTACCCAGTATTTACATTTCATATGGATGGTTCTATAACACCTCCTAATTTGTATTCAAGTTATTTAATTTTTTGCCATTGATTTAAAAGACTTGTCCTTGCTCAAGTCTTGATTTTTATTTTTACAAGTGGGATGCTCTAATATATCCCAATGAGTATACTTATATAATTTATATTCTTGTGGGATGATTTGATATATCCCTAATGCATTTATTTTTTTTAGATTTTTTTTACTTATTTTGTTACCATGTGATGTTTTTCTATATCCCTATATACTCTATGTAATCTATAGTAGGATGGTTGATAAATTCCTACTACAATTATTTGTCTCTAACAAATTGTTTACTCTCAATTTAATTGTGTACGATAAATATATATGTCCTCATTCAATTATTACTTTAGTTGGTTTATTTTGATTTATTTGAATTTTAACAATTATATATGTATAAATATAATTATAATTTTACGTATAAAATACGTATATAATAGCTGTTTTTAACGGATATATTAATGGCTATATAACGGCCGCAATCTTAAATTTTTTCTATAAATACATCATTCCTAAATCTCATGTACACACCTTCACAATATTCTCCTTCTTCCTCTTCTAATTTTCTAAGAAAAAAATGTCTTTACTTTCTCTCTTTTGCATGACAATAGTTAGCATATATATTGTCATGATATTTTTCCTAGAAAAATTCGATGATTTTATTTTTCATTTATTTTTTCTTGTAATATGTATTCTACCATTGTACTTCATTGCTATATTTACTAAATAAATTGTTAACATTTTTTATTGTAAGATTTATTCATTATTAAATGTAACTGCAATTTTTTTTCTTTATCCTAGTTATCAAAGATGTCAAATTTATCAAAGCTAGAGTTTGAAGCTCTAAAACACACTGGATAAAACTATATGTGTTGGAAAACAAACGTTATGACATATCTACGATCAATGGGTCTCACAGATACTATAAAACCAGAAAATACTACCACAGAAAAGGATAAGGCGACTGTGTTGATATTACTTCGCAAACATTTTGATGATTGTTTGCAAAATGAATACATAGATCAAGAAGATCCAAGTGTTGTCTGGAAAAGCATTACTTCCAGATTTGATAATAAAAGAGCTAATATATTACCAAATGCTATTGATGAATGGAAATTATTACGATTTCAAGATTTTAAAAATGTGGATGAGTATAATTCAACATTGTTCAAGATTGTTTTACAATTAAAATTTTGTAGCCATCCTATGGCTGAAAAAGAAATGATAGATAAAACTCTATCAGTATTTCATCCTTCTGGTATTATTCTTTCAAATGCTTATGGATTGATGAAGTATGAGCATTATTCCGATTTCTCAATAGCACTTTTGCAAGAAGAAAATGCCAACAGACTTTTGATAAAGAATCATCAATCACGACCTACTGGCTATATGGCGTATCCTGAAGCAAATGCCATAATTCAAGATACTCTGGAAAATTTAATAGTCGTGGACGTGGCCGAGGCCGAGGTCGTGGTCGTGGTCGTGGTGATCACAACCGTGGCGGCCGTGGTGGTCGTGGCAATCGTGGAGGTTATGGCCGCCGTGGTGGCTATAATGGCCATGGAGGGAAACAATTTTCTGGCCATAATCATGGTAATGCCCCATATGAATAAATAACTCACCCTCAAAAGAAAAATAAAATGACCAAGAATGATGCTCCAGAAAAATCTCAAAAGAATGCTGAAAATGCATGTTACAGGTGTGATACTGAAGGTCATTATGCAAAGGTCTGTAGAACTCCAAAACACCTTTGTGATCATTATGCCGCATCAAAGGGTAAAGGAAAAGAAGTAAATTTCAATGAGCATATTGATCAAATGGAGGATAATGGTCAAACTCAGTTGAATGCTTCAGATTTTGCAAGTGAATTTGTTGAATTTTCAAACTATCAAATGTATTAGAATGTTTCTATTTTAATAATGATTATGTTAAGAACTGAAGCACCAAATAAATGATTGTGTTGTATATGGTTCTGTTTTGATGTAGTTGTGTTGTATTTTAGTATTATTGTAATGTATTTTGTTTTATTCAATAAACTTGTTATCTTTCATGCATTATTTTGATTATTTATCTTTCTTTTGAAGTTTGACATGGATTTCAGTAAAACTCAACATAAAAGCGTTGGAGATTTTTGTATACCAGATAGTGGTACTACACACACTATCTTAAGAAATGGAGAATATTTCTCTGAAATAAAACCAACAAAGGCAGTGATTTATACAATATCAGGTCCTCTAGATCTGATTGAAGGAATTGGTAAAGGCAAAATTACATTACCAAGAGGAACAAAGTTTGAAATTGAAGAAGCTTTGTTTTCTCCGAACTCCAGGAGAAATTAATTGAGTTTTGATGATTTCAGTAAAACTCAACATAAAAGCAGCGTTGGAGATTTTTGTATACCAGATAATGGTACTACACACACTACCTTAAGAAATAGAGAATATTTCTCTGAAATAAAACCAACAAAAGCAGTGATTTATATAATATCAGGTCCTGTAGATCTGATTGAAGGAATTGGTAAAGCCAAAATTGCATTACCAATACATTCACCAAGTGGACCATTCAGATATTTTATGGTTCTAATAGACGTATCCAGTAGATGGTCTCATGTATGTTTATTGTCAACCCAGAATGTAGCATTTGCAAGATTTTTAGCTCAAATCATAAAACTACAAGCTCAATTTCCTGATTATACAATAAAAAGGGTTAGACTTGATAATGCTGGTGAATTTATGTTTCAATCATTTAATGATTATTGTACGTCTACTGGAATCATTGTTGAGCATCATGTTGCTCATGTACATACACAAAATAGTTTAGCAGAATCATTAATTAAAAGGTCGCAACTTATTGCTAGACCATTAATTATGAGAACAAAGCTATCTGTTTCTATTTGGGGCCATACAATATTACATGCTGCTTCACTAATAAGAATACGGCCGAGTGCTGATCATAAATACTCCCCACTTCGATTGGCAGTTGGATTTGAACCAAATATTTCATATCTTAGAGTTTTTGGTTGTGCAGTATATATACCCATTGCGCTACCGCAATGCACAAAAATGGGTCCTCAAAATAGATTAGGAATATATATTGGGTTCGAATCACCCAGTATAATAAAATATCTTGAACCTTTGACGGGTGATGTTTCCACAGCACATTTTGTTGATTGCCAATTTAATGAGGTTATTTTCCCAAAATTAGGGGGAGAAAGAAAAGAAGTAGTAAATGATATTGCATGGACCTCGATCCTCGAACAAAGTAATGTGAAACAGAGGTGCAAAAGATTGTGCACTTGTAAGCAATTGCAAATCAATTGCCAGATGCTTTTACAGATACAAAAAGAGTGACTAAATCACCTATACCAACAGTTAATTCTCCTGCTCATATTGAAATTCCAGAAATGAAATCTGAGGATAAAGTCTCTCAAGAGTCTAAACCACGTCTAAAACGTGGGAGACCGATTGGTTCAAGTGATAAAAATCCCTGAATAAGAAAGAAATCAGAAAATAATGTCAATGAAAATGTTCTTGAAGAACTAAAAGGCAAAGAAAATTCTCCTGATGAAAACACTGAAAATGTGAATGAAGAAATCTCAATCAATTATAATAGTACAAAAATGCTATGGAATAGAGATGAAATTGAATATAATGATGAGATTTTCTCTTATACTGTTGCATGTGAAATTATGAACGCAAGTGATGATCCTGAACCAAAATCAGTTCAAGAATGTCAAAATAGACATGATTGGCTAAAGTGGAAAGATGCTATGCAAGCTGAATTAGATTCGCTTAATGAGCGAAATGTTTTTGGATCCATTATTCTCACACCCAAAGATATAAAGCATGTTGGATATAAATGGCTTTTTGTACGAAAACGAAATGAGAAGAATAAAATCACCAGATACAAGGCTAGACTCATAGCTCAAGGTTTTTCACAAAGACCTGGAATTGACTACGATGAAACATATTCTCCTGTTATGCATACAATTACGTTCAGATTCTTAATCAGCTTAGCTGTTTCTGAAAAATTAGAAATGCGTCTCATGGATATTGTGATTGCTTATTTGTATGGATCACTTGATAGTGATATTTATATGAAAATCCCTGAAGGATTTAAGATGCCTAAAGCTTCAAGTTCAAAACCCAAAGAAATGTATTTAATTAAACTGCAAAGATCATTATATGGGTTAAAGCAGTCTGGCCGCATGTGGTATAATTGTTTAAGTGATTATTTGAGAAATAAGGGATATACCAATAATGCTATTTGTCCATGAGTTTTTTATTAAGAAAACGACATCTGGATTTGTTATTATAGCTATCTATGTTGATGACTTGAATATCATTGGAACCCATAAAGATCATTATATGGGTTAAAGCAGTCTGGCCACATGTGGTATAATTGTTTAAGTGATTATTTGACAAATAAGGGATATACCAATTATGCTATTTGTCCATGCGTTTTTATTAAGAAAACAACATCTGGATTTGTTATTATAGCTATCTATGTTGATGAATTGAATATCATTGGAACACATAAAGAAATTAATTATGTCGTTGCATACTTAAAGGAAGAATTTGAAATGAAAGATCTTGAAAAAACTCAGTATTGTCTTGGTTTACAAATTGAACATATGCATGATGGAATATTTGTGCATCAATCAAATTACACAGAAAAGATATTAAAACACTTTAACATGGATAAAGCAAATCCTTTAAGTACTCCAATGGTTGTCAAGACACTTAATGACGAAAAGGATCCATTTCGTCCTGTTAAAGATGATGAAGAGATTTTTGGTCCTGAAGTATCATATCTGAGTACAATTGAAGCTCTTATGTATCTTGCTAATTGTACCAGACCTGATATTTCTTTTCCAGTCAATTTGTTAGCAAGACACATCTCTTCCCCTACCAAAAGACACTAGAATGCAATCAAGCATATATTTCATTATCTTCGTGGAAGTATTGATCTAGGTTTTTTTTACTCTAACGAATCGAAATGAGAGTTAATTGGTTATGTAGATGCATGTTATTTATCTGATTCTCATCATGGAAAATCTCATACTAGATATGTGTTTACATATGGAGGAACTGCAATTTCTTGGCGTTCCCAGAACAAGCAATAATATCTACTTCTTCAAATCATGCCAAAATTATTGCATTGCACGAAGTGAGTAGAGAATCTGTATAGCTCAGATCAATGACACAACACATCAAGACTTCTTGTGGTCATCGAATTGAGAAAATTCCAACTATTTTATATGAAGATAAACAGCTTGTATTCACCAATTAAAGGAAGGATATATCAAGAATGATCGGACAAAACATATCCCTCCCAAGTTCTTCGCATATACCTAACAACTCATGAAGAATAATGACATTGATATTCAATATGTCATATCCAGTGAAAACTCAGATGATCTCTTCACAAAGTCACTTCCTACTACACTTTTCAGAAAACATATTCATAACATTGGAATGCGTCATTTACATAGCATGTGAATAGTTATTGATGTTATCATCAGGGAGAGACAATTACGCACTGCACTCTTTTTCCCTTTGCTGATTTTTTTTTTCACTGGGTTTTTATTTTAGCAAGATTTTTAACGAGACAGTATTGCTAGCGTAATTTCATTTTGCCATTCAAGGGGGAGTGTTGTAAATTATTGAGGTGAATGACAAAATTAATACCCAACAACCCGTACTATTCTTTCCTCCATTTTTGACTTCTAACCTTTAGCATTAATTGTATCAAAATTTACTAAATTACCATTTTTATTGGCTATAAATAGAGGAGGAGATGAAATCTATCAGATGCACCAAAATATATATCAAAGGCAAAAGCTTTCATTCCTTCCCGTATTTTTCTTCAAATGAATTTGTTTTAATTTTCTTTCTTTCTTCTTAAATCTTATAAAGTTATATCATAATATCTAAATTATTAGTTAATCCTTATATTAAAGTCTCTAGTAGACAATTAGAAATATTATCACTAAATAAGTTATTAGTTACCTTTGCTTTGGATCATTATATCTAGACATTAATTTTTCACAACAAAACTATAATTTTTAGTATTTTCTTTGAAAACATAACTTTGTCTTTTCTTTTTTTCTTTTTTTTTTTTGGTCATGTTCAACAATAGTAATATTTGGTCACTATTCATTATATAGTATCTAATTGACTAGGTAGCACAATGCTACTAGTTGCTCCTCACAAGATGAATTTAGTGGGAAAATTTTCTTATGGAAGGCCGAAAATGGATGTCTTGCGCGAGGAATTCAAAAAAATCGGTTTCAAAAGATCATATTTTCTTGGTCTTATGAACCCACGACACGTTTTGATTCGGTTTGAATTGGAGGAAGACTATCAGCGTTGTTGGATTACTTCTTTATGGACTATAGGCGGTTATCAAATGCGCATTTTGAAATGGCATCCGGGTTTTAAGTTTGAAGAAGACCCACCGATCGTTCCCATCTGGGTTTCTCTTTATGAGCTTCCTTTGGAATGGATGCATCCGAGGGTTTTATTTTCCATAGCCTCTGCTGTTGAAAAGCCCCTTCAAGTGGATACTCCAACCCTAAATTTGACAAGGCCGTCTGTTGCGCGCTTTTGCGCTGAGGTTGATCTGACTAAAGAGTTACCGAAGTCGATTCGGATTGGAAAGAAAGGAAAGAAATATGAGCAATATTATACGTATGAATGTGTTCCTTCGTACTGCTCTGCTTGCTGTAAGATTGGACACAGAGATGTGGATTGTCGAAAAGTAAAAGGCACAACTATAAATGTCCCAGTAGTTGATGCTTTGAAGAAGACTGAAATTGTTGCCCAAGGACCGAAAATGGCTGCCTCAAAAAATGGATTTCGATTGCAGCAGAAAAAGTCAACTGGGGTTTAAGAAAAGGGGAAAGGAAGATGGATTTGGAGGTGCAGATTATCAATGAAGACCCTTTCATCATAAAAGGTTTGATTCCTAAAGTCGTCGAAACACAGGTTGCGGAAACCCTAACCTCGCAGCCTCCGGAAGAGGCTCATGCTGGAGGTTCAACTTTTGGTTTAACAACCAAAGAAAAAGGTTCTATTCCTGTTGATATTGTGGACAGTACCCCCCATGATTCTGGTAGTAAAATGGTGGATGATAACGTTCTTGCTGTTACTGAAGCTCAAGTTGATGGCGACTCGCGAATGAGATCCAATGCGTAAGGGGATTTTGTTTCTCTGCGCGAATCTACCCAACTTGCATCTCCGGAGGCTAGAGTTGCTGATGCTTTGTGATTGGATACCGACGTGCAAGGGGAAGTTGGTTCTCTAGCGCAAACAACTCAACTCGTAGTCCTGCAGGATGATGTTTTGAATGACTGCTCTGAGATGAATAAGACAGAACCGGTTATGCAAGCAAATCAATTTGCGATCCTGCAAAGTTGTGATGATAACGGCGATGCGATTGCTGATATTGTCCAGGAAAATGCTGATGAAGATTCTGATGATGTTGAAAATGTATTCATGGAAGTTATCCTAGTCAACTAGTTGGTCCTTATGGAAAATGTAGATACGAAAAACGCAGCTAATGATGGTCAGGACCCTAAACTTTTTTATCCGGATGACTCTTTGACTGCGGATCTACTTGTTTCAGATGATGATGACGATGCATATGAAGAAAGTTGGTCAGAAAGGGATAAGGACATGCCTGACTTGGCTGTGAATGAGCAAGGGGAATTAACAACCAAGAAGAGGCGCGGCCGCAAAACGAAAGATGAGCGCGCTAAGCTTATAGCTGGTAAAGAGCTTCGGCGATCTCTTCGCCTTCATTAATCTCCAAATTTTATCAATGATAAGTGTTATTTTTTGGAACATTAGAGGAATACGAAAGCAAGCCTCTCAACAACGTTTGCGAGCTCTCATCCGAATGTATAGAATTTCTCTTGTGGTGATTCTTGAACCTATGTTAGCTTCTGATAAATTAGAAGAAATAAGGCGGGAACTTAATTTTGATTGTGCTTTCTCTTCAAGTACTAGCAAAATTTGGGTCTTCCATAGTAAACTATTTACTGTCAGCCGGTTGGAATCTGGTGAGCAAATGATGCACTTTGAGGTTGGGTATGTACATCTTCAAAGGAACTTTCTCCTTACTGCAATGTATGCTAAATCTAACAAAGTGGAAAGGCGATCTCTATGGGCGGCTTTGGAAACTTTTAGAAGTACACATGTATCTCAGCCTTGGGTTATTGGAGGGGACTTTAATGTTATATGATCTCTTGATGAATACTCTGGAAATTCAGTTCAGGACTATGGAGCCATTGACAGGTTTAATCGATGCATTAAAGAGAATAATTTGATGGAAATACCATCAGTGGGTGATGATTTTACTTGGGGTGGTATGCGTGCTACCGGTTGGGTTAGCAAGAAGTTAGACCGTATTCTTTTCCCTCCGGAGTGGATGGATGTTTTTCCTAAGGTTTCCATTGAGCTTTTGAGCCGTACTACATCTGACTACTCCCTTTTTCTACTTCAATTTGATGGACAACTTGAGTCTAAGCCAAGAAGTTTCAGATTCCAGAAAATGTGGCCTCAAAGAGGAGATTTTAAAGATCTTGTTCAATATAATTGGTTACACCCGGTTTGGGGTTCTAGAATGCTGGCTTTTTCCTTGAAGCTTCGTAGATTGAAGCTAGCTTTAAAGGAATGGAACAAATTGCATTTTGGTGATGTTTTTCAAAATCTGAAATTGGCGGAGGATAAAGTAAAGGAACTGGAAATCGCCTATGATCGTTCTGGGCACATGAATGATAGGCAAAATCTAAGCTTGGCTAGGGCTCATTTGCTTCAAAAACTCAAGGAACATGATGACTTTTGGAAGCAGAAATTACGCTTAAAATGGCTCAAGGAGGGGGAGAATAATACAGCTTATTTTCACGCATCTCTTGCTGAAAGAAAGTTGAAGATGGGGATCCAAAAAATTCAAACTGAGGAGGGCTGTGTTTTAACAAAATTGGAAGAGATTGAGAAGGAGGCGGTGGATTTTTTTCATAATCTTCTTACTGAAGAATCTCCTCATTTATGGCAGCATCAAAAGCAACAAGTATTCTTGAAAAATTTGAATGATGATTTGAGTTTGGAGGATAAGCATATGCTTGTAAGGCCGGTTACTATGGAGGAAGTCAGGGCTGCGGTTTTCAATCTTGATGAGGATAGTGCGCCTGGTATTGATGGATTTGGAGGTGTTTTTACAAAGCTTGCTGGGATATAATCTCGGAAGATCTTCTTGCTGCATGTTGAAAATTTCATGAGTGGTGTTACACTTCCAAGAGCTGTGGCAAGTACTGTAATCACCTTAATTCCTAAGAAGGTCTCGGTGAGTACATTTCAGATTTTAGGCTAATTAGCCTTTGCACTTTCTTAATAAGATTTTTACTAAAATCTTAACTGAAAGGTTGAAGCTAGTGTTACCTAAAATCATTTCTGAGGAACAATCCGCCTTTTTACCGGGAAGAGATATAATTGATAATGTTGTCTTGGCGCAAGATCTTTGTTAGTTCATAAATCACAAGGCGATGAGAAATAATGTAATTATCAAGATTGATATGATGAAGGCTTTTGACCGAGTATCTTGGAGTTTTTTTGGAAAAGGTCCTTTGTAAGATGGGATTCCTGGATGCTTTCATTTCATTAATTTTGAATAACCTCAGAGATAGCTGGTTTTCGATAATGGTGAATGGTTCCCCAACCGGTTTCTTTAAGCCATCTAGAGGAATAAAGCAAGGTGATCCACTATCCCTTTACCTATTTATATTGATAGCTGAGGCAATGTCAAGGAAGCTAAACGATTTAGTTCGGAAGAATAAAGTGGCTGCCTATGGTACTCCAGCAGGTTCCATGAAAGTTTCACATCTAAGTTTTGCAGATGATTTGATCATTTTTACAAGGGGTGAAACTTGACAGTTGAAGGAGCTAAATAATTTTTTAGAAGCCTATGAAATACTTCTGGACAAAGAATAAGCCGCAACAAAAGTTTCTTTTTGGTGGCGGAATCTTGTAGTACATTTCGGGTTGAAGCAATCAAAAGAGTTTTGACTATGTCTAAGGGCTCTTTTCCTTTTAAATATCTTGGCTGTAATATATTTTGCGGAAGGAGTAGAGCATCTTCATTCCAGTTTCTATTAGATTCTTTAGACTCCAAGATTGCAAGCTGGAAAAACAAGTTTCTAAGCCCGGGTGGAAGATTGATTCTCTTGCGCCATGTTCTTGCAGCGATGTCTATATATGTTTTGTCGGCTATTTCCCTCCCCCCCCCATGTCTGTCTTGAAGGAAATGGAGAAAAGATGCCAAAGGTTTCTATGGCATGGTTCAAATGACAAAAAGCGAAGACATTGGAGATCTTGGGATCGATTGGCTCTTCCTATTTCAGAGAATGGTCTAGGGTTGCGCAAGTTTGTAGATGTTGTTCGAGGTTTTTCTTGCAAACTTTGGTGGAAATACAAGCAGCAAAATGGATTATGGAGTCATTTTATCTTGTCTCTCTCGCATTCAGCTAGGGGTAAAACATCTTGGAGCAGGGTTGATAAGGTTGACATGGAGGCGTCGCAATGCTTGAAGGTTCTAGTTTGTGAGGGGGATCGATCTTTTTGGTTCGACAACTGGACTTCTGTTGGTGTTATATGGAGGGAACCAAATGCGCTTCCCCCTAGTCCTCAACTGAGTATTAAAGATTTTGTTGCTAACAAGGAATTTTATTTGCATGATTTGCAGTATATTCCGGCCACGCAAGTAACACGGTCATTGAAGTATACGGCTGAAACTCTAGAGACGGGCCGTGGTTCCTTGATATGGCAACACTCCTCTTCGGGTTTGTTTACCATCAAATCTGCTTACTTGCATCTAAGAATCCGGGGATTGGAGGACTCCTTATCTAAGAATGTTTGGAACAAGCTAATTCCGTTGAAGATTTCTTTCTTTGTATGGAAGCTTCGCAACTTTCTTGTTCCCTTCCCAGAAACTTTGAGTAAGTTTGAAATACAAGTTTTGCCATCCATTTGCCTCTCATGTCGAGATCATGGTGATTCAGTATTGCATTGTTTTCTTGAATGCACAGCGAGCAAGGAGATATGGAAGTTTTTCTTTAGCTTATTTGAAATACCATGGTGGGATGAAGTAAACTTGCTTCCCATTATTCAAGAATGGTGGAAGCGCGGTTGCTTCTCCTCAGCCCGCAAATCTTTGATCAAGATTGCTCCGTCTTTCATTCTTTGGGAGATTTGGAAGATGCGAAACAAAATGCTTTTTGATGGTGAGGCTTTTAGTTTTGAAAGGGTGATCTCCACAATAAAGGTGGACTTATATAATGTCTTAGTAACTCATGAATTGAAGGCCCGGACCTTGGATGAGCGAGATTGGATTGAAAGTATTTTTGGCTTCCAACTTCAAAATGTAATGGTATATAGGTGTATTTTTGTTATTTGGAAGGCTTCGGAACATAGTGGATATGTGCTTAATACGGATGGCTCTAAGATCCATTTGGATTCAGGTTATGAACTTTGTATCAGGAGGAATAATGGAGGCTTTATATATGGTGAAAGTGGTTTTATAGGTGATGGAGATAGCTTTGGTGCGGAGGTATATGGTGTGCTTTTTGGGGCAAGGAAATGTGACCAACTGGGTTTGCAAAAAGTGGCCGTTCAAACTGATAATGAATCCTTAGTTCATATACTTGGTGATATGAAGCATGTGCCATGGAAGTATTATTTCCAGTTAATGGAGATTCATCATATAATTGAGAGGCAAGATTACACAATTCAACGCATATTTCGAGAAGCCAACTCAGTGGCGGGTGGCCTAGCTGGTGAGGCGTCACTTGAAATATCAACCAGATATAACTCTATGAGTACTTTGCCTAGGCATATAAAGGGACTTGTACGTTTAGATCAGGTCTCCTTTCCATATTTACGAGCTTGTTATAAATAGTCTTTTGTATACTTGTAAGTTTTAAATACTGCCAAGTTTCTGGTTCAATATTTAATAAAATACAAAAGGAAGGAAGCTAGGGAACTGGATTATATCTATGTCCATCTCTCGGGTATACCCAAGCCCCTTGGGTGCATACTATCATCCAGCTATAACTGCTTCAAAAATTCATCTCTTGGGCAGACCCCAGTGTTTTTGAAGTAGTTAGAACCCGAACTTTCTGGCCTTTTCATTTATTTAAAATATATATATATATATATTTCATCACTTTGTATTGTAATACTACTTATAATTCTCTTACAGAAATAGTAAACATATTGTTTTTTAAATTTTGTACTAAAATCGTAACAATTAAAAAAAAATTATGTGAATTATTATGTTTTGTTAGGACAAAGGGCATATAATGTAAATTTGAATGGAGCAAGGGCAAACTAACTGCATACGACACGCACTTCCCCTAACCCTACTTGGATTTTGTCTCTTGACTATTTTGAAGGAGAGGATACAAGATTCTAGCTACTTGCATTCGATTTGAGCTGCTACTTCCCATAATAATTAAAGATTGGATTGTTTCGTTTTCTCCTTCCCGTAATTTGAAGCCCGATCTAACCACACCGATCATATTTGTGAGTTGCCAGATGAGATTCTAATGATCATATTATTGAGCTTGAACATGAAAGAGGCGGCCATGATCTCTGTTCTTTCTCATAGATGGAAAACTCTTTGAGAGTTTTGTTGAGAGTTGGTGTCCCACATCCCATATGAAGAAACAATGATCAAAATATAAGTTTTAAGGGTCTCGCTGGTCATTCCCCCAATTGGTTTTGAGATGAGAACCTATATATCTTTGACATGGTATTAGATCGTTCTGGGCTAGTAGTGGCCTGTGATATTTTAATAATAACCCACTGGGAGAATGGCTCATAAGTGGCTCACTTAGTAGTGTTGCTCGTGAGCTTGTTGTGACTGATTTGACAATATAACTGGAGAATTGTAGATTGACCCAGCCATATAATTGGATTTTTGATAAATTGTGTTGTTGTGATCCAAGTCCATTGGGCTGAAAACCCCATTGAACTTAAGGGAGGGTGTTGTTGTTGTGTTGCGTCCCGGTTCAACCCGGAACGGGCGGTTTGCTCGTTCCGGGTTGAACTGGGACGCGTTTCTTGCGCGTCCCGGTCGCGCCGCCGGCCGGCTTCCATGGCTGTCCGGCGGCCAGAATGTTAATTTTTTTAAAAAATTTGTTTAATTCAATGTTAGTGTTTAATTATGTTTAAATTAATGTAATTAGGGTTATTAAGTAGTTATTTATTAACTAATAGTTTGTGATTTAGATTGATTATTTAATTTAATTGTGTAAATAATTTAATTTGATTAATAGTAGATTAGTTCATTAACTAATTAGTTTGATTGATTTACTCATTAATTTAAATAGTTATTAAAGTATTAAAATATTTAGGTTATATTTTTTATTTAATTATTAGTAGATTAGTAAAGTTAATCATTTGAATTGATTAAATTAATTTAAATAGTATGTAAATTAGTTGAATTTTAAAAACTAATTTAATTGATAGTAGATTAGTTCACTACCTAATTACTTTAATTGATTTACTCATTAATTTAATTAGTTATTAAAGTATTTAGGTTATATTTTTAATTTCATTATTAGTAGATTAGTAAAGTTACTCATTTTGATTAGTAAACTAATTTCATTATTATTGAATATTAAAAACTAATTTCATTAATAGTAGATTAGTTCACTACCTAATTACTTTAATTGATTAAATTATTTATTTTATAAGTAATAGTAGATTAGTAAAGCTAATTTAAATTGTGTGTAAAGTAGTTTATGATTAATTAAATTAATATAAATATTTTGTAAAATAGTTGAGTATTTCTAATTAATTATAATTAATAGTAATTTAATTAAAAATTTGGTAAAGTACTTTAGTTTACTTAATTATTATATGAATTGTACTTAATTATTAAACTATTTAGGATTTAGGAAATGTGTATAATTATTTGTTTAGACTATGAAAATATGATGACGATGAATAAAATTTTGTTTATAGGTTTATTGTGATGATGATGATGATAGTGATACTAGTGATACTGAAGATACTAGTAAGCGTAAGGTTCGTGCGCGTTATCTGACCATGAGTCGTCGGAAGAAAAAAGAGGAAAAAGAGAAAATGAAGCGAATGAAAATGACTCAGGTCACTATGGGGGGTGTACCGCTTCAGACTCAGTCTAGTCAGCTGATTCATGTACCCGAGTATTCTCAGGATGACCTGGAAGAGGGGGATGAGGATGAGGAGGATGAGGAGAATGAGTTTGATGAGGATGATGTGCAGGACAGTGTTAGGATGGGTGCACATCACAGAGATACGCCTATGTACAATCTTAGTAGTTACCCTCCTCCTCGGTACTCCAGTTGTCCCCGGCCTGGTCCTCGCGGCTTACCCTCTCCCCCTACTCCTATCCCTTCTCCTATGAGTGGTGAGTGGCGCAGTCCATATCATAGTCCCTCTTTCCCGCATCCGGGGGAATTCCCACAGGGTATATCCACCGGTAGTCAGCCTCGTCCCCCGCCCCGCTCAGGCATCTCCCCCCTACATTGATCCCGTGCCCCCTCGCGGAGGTCCCGTCTTCGCTCGAGTATCTACACGTCCTCCCCCTCTCATTGATCCCGTGGGCCCTAGCCGAGGTCCCAGATCCACTGGAGTATCTACACGTCCAGTTACCACTACTGCATCATCAGGTACCAAATATCTATATTTAATTGTTGTAATTATTTAATATTCTATAATTATTTTTAATTAATTATTTTTACTTATATTTATTGAATTGTTGTATGTGTATAAAATGTAATAAATAATATTTTGCTTACTCATTCATGGTACAGGCGGCGGCAGCCAGTTGAGAGTTTCTGATGAAATTGATCCGACTACATGGCTAGTGACAGATGAAGTACCTGGTGGGCCGATAGATGGTAGCGTGATTCCTAGCTTCCTTGGGCATATTGCTAATCATTTCTGGCATGGATACAATAGACCCACATTGAAGATTTTTAAAGGCGAAAAGATTCTGAATAAGTTAAAGATGTGGTATAAAGATATGGATGATGTAGTGAGAGGCAAGATTCGGGGAACTGGATTGAGTCACCTTCTTCATACCTCGTATGAAGATATTGATCTTGGCTTAGTTCAGGCATTTGTTGAGAGGTGGCAGCTGGACACCAACTCATTTCATTTCCCGTTTGGGGAGATGACCATCATGATGCATGATGTTTATCATATTTTGGGCATTGGGGTCAATGAAGAGTTGGTGTCAGCTACGTCCAAGACAGATTTGTTGAGGAGACATGCAGCAGTGATACTTGGCCTGGATGTGAATGGTTACAAATGGAGTCATGGCGGTGCCTCTGATTGGTTCATCCTTGAGCGATGCCAAAAAGCGGACGAGAATACCCAGGCCTCTACTTTCTTGTGGGTATTGTTGGTCTCGACGTTGTTCATGGCCAAGAGTGGTGGGAGGTGCAGTGTTTCACTTGTACATGAGCTGATGGCTGGGATCGAGGATATGGGTTCATACTCGTGGGGCTTTGCTACGCTTGCGTTCCTATACCGTCAGTTAGGGATGGCTAGTAGGGAAAAGTGCACTCAGTTAGGTGGTTATTTGACCCTACTGCAGGCCTAGATATACGAATATTTTTTTATTTTCTGCCCCCAGGGAGGGCGAGTTACCCGTGGGGGTAATGACAGGCCCAGAGTACATGACTGGATACCACCATCTTTTCCGGGGCCGACATCTGTGCGAGATCGTCTTCGTCAGGTTAGGGAGCATCTCGACTGTTTCACCGAGTTAGAGGTACTTGATTGCTTCATTTGACTGTATTTCATTTTATTTTTTGAAAATGATATTTATAAATAATCTAAACACTATTTTGCAGGTAAAGTGGGAGCCATTTGGACCTCGCCAACAAGGAATAGTTCCTAGGACTATCTACAGTGGGTGGATAATGTATAGGAACTTGCAGGAGCCATACATGCCGGACAAATGTATACGTCAGATTGGCTACGTACAGAGCATTTCTCGTTCGCCCATGTCCCCTAATGATGCATTCCGAGGACCCAGGACTACCCAGTACTTTGTACAGCATTCTGCTGTTGACACACTCAGTACTTGGAGGAGATTCCCAGAGTCAGCGTGTCTTAATTTGACCAGATGGCGATACAATTATGACGGTGACATCGTAGGAGAGTGTGAGGATGGGTACCTTGAATGGTACAGGCAGTATTCACATCCATTTCTGCTGCCGACAACTGACCCATCTGCAGTCTCTACACCAGCTAGGAGCAGTCAGGATTATGTAAGTTGTATTTTTAATTTTTTGGGTTTTTGTAGATATACATTTCTATATTATAAATAGTTTAACCTTTTTTGGTTTTTGTTTTTTCAGTGGATGAATGAATTGAGGAAGCTGACGAGGGACCTGATTAGAAAGGTCAAAGTGTCCGATCGCGACCTGGCTGACGAATATGATGAGAAGCTACAAGATACGATGATCCGTTATTACAAGGCCCCATGATCATTGTCATTGTTGTATTATTGGACTGGATTTGTTTGTTTTTCTCTCTCTTGGACTGCACTTAGTTTTTTCTTTTTTTGGTATGATGGAATTGTGTGTTATATATTAATTAGCTTATTTGGTGTCCGTGTTGTAAGGTTTTTTTTTTTTTAACTAGTATGGCCAACAAGGTTTGTTATTGCACAAATCAAAAAAAACAAACAAATTTGATACTAGATAATACCAATATCTAGTTCACAACAAACAAACAAACATGAATCTAATCTAAGAAACTAAGATCAATGAAATCATTAGCATAATCCCTGACAGGATGTCCAGGATTGGAGGGGACCAACCTATACCAATCTTGAATTCTAGGAAGAAGTGGTAATTCCCAACCAACAACGCTAGGCTGATGTTCCTTAGTCCACCGATTATTGATCGGTGGAACTGGAAAGTCACCGTCCAAATTGATCCGAATGAAGTGCTTGCAAATACCACGGTGACATACCCCATTCTCAAATGCCGGACATGTTGCCTCACCACGTGCAGTGACAGGTAGTATAGTCCAACATGAGGAGTTTAGCGACTGGTTCTCTTCCACTGCACCGTAATAGTATACAATTGCATTGTTCATAGTCGCAACTACGAACAAGTCCGTCGCACACATCTAATGGCGCTCAGGTGCGAAACCCTGTCCACTCCACCGTATACGACGGACTTCTTCCTGGCAGGACGTCCTGCATTTACATATACAATTATTTGTGCAAAATACTGCCAAGTTCAGCAAACATCATAACATAGAAAATGAAAAGTATTTATACCCGTAGATTCTAGTGTACAGATACCAATTCTGTTCTAGCTCGTTTGTCATTGCCTCTTTCTCCATCGCCCACTTGTCCTGGCTCAAAAACATGTTACTCGCGATGATGCAAAATCCACAATTGCCATCAGCACTAACATCAAGGTAACTGGTAATATATGGCCGAATGGGCCATGGAATGAGGTCGTAGCAACCATACTGTGAAATATCACTCGCAAAGATCTCTGTACATTACACGGAAACAATGTTATTTGGAACAAATGATAATAAATTAATAAGATTCTGAACAATTACTTCTTAACATGTACCTGTGGATGCATCTGTACGACCACCTGAAGACGAGGGGCGCTTCTTACTTGAATCGCTAGTAACTGTGGTCGACTTTCCTTGAGCGTCCCTGTAATCCCACACATTAGGTGTTGCTTTTTTCTGTGAGGATTGTTCATGGGCAAGAGTGTTGGCCTCTGCTTTTTTCTTTGATTTAGCCCCCTTAGCCGCCCCTTCCTTCTCTTGACCTCCTCAGGTTGTTTGAACCCACACTGGTCTGGATGCATAATATCGTGGAGAGCCCTATTTACGGCAAGGTCGTCGCCTTAGGACACTCGTTCAGCTCTTCCATCAACCTCTCGGTATACAGGACCTCGTCATCCACATCGCTAGGAGCACTCGTACCAGCCTGTTCACCGATATTAAGGGTCGCCCAGAATGGGTGAATATGCTTAAGAGTTATCGATGTACCGGCATCTGCAGCCTTTTTGAGGGCGCACGCACATGGAATTCGACAAGTCTAGTACACCACATGATCGCATCGGTCATTCGTTTCTTCTTTCCACTCTTGCGCCTTCGACCACTCAGTGTTCAGCTTTTCCAAACAAGTATGTGAAACTTGACATTTCAAGCGGTTCAGTGGAAAACCGCAATAATGGGTGCTAATTTTCTGTCTTGAGTACTCCAGTTTGTACCTGAATGTAGCCACTTACTGTAAAACATTCTATGTAAAATGCCATAAAAACAAAATAAATAATAAATATATTATAATAAATATAACTTCTAATATAATGGAATAGAACTTACCGTATTTCGGTTAGCTGCCTCTGAATTTCCAAGTGCACCTTAGCCCAAAGTGTATCCAGCGACGCTGTGGATGTTTCTAGCTAGGTTTTTAACTGCTTGTGCGCACTCTCCACCCTACCTGTAGTAGTGTTGCCCATATGAAACACAGCATTCGTCCATGCCTTGACGAATTTGTAGTCAACCACTAGCCATTTCTTCTGGATATAATTAAGAACTCTCGGAAAAGACTGCCAACGACGGTTTATTATGGCAACAGCTTTATTGTACTCATCCTGATTATTAGCTTCCACAACGTCTTTCCACAACCCATATGTAAAACCATTTGCAATCTTGGCTTCAATTTTCAATTCCTTGTTGAGATGTCGCTTTACATTCTCATAAACGTGTCAAACACACAACAAGTGGCATGAATCTGGAAATACCATACCCAGCGGCGCCATCAACCCCGGTTCCCGATCAGTAACAATAACAGCCAGAGACAGATGACCAGGTAGCATATCCCTAAACTGTCTCAAAGCCCAATAATAACTGTCAGCAGTCTCGTCACTCAAGAGGGCGTATGCAATCAGGAAGTTCTGGTTGCACGGTGTCATCCCAATAAACTCAACCAACGGCATTTTGTACTTGTTCGTCTTGTATGTTGAGTCTATCCCGATGACCCAGAAATAACTGCAAAATAAATTGACAGCATCAGGATGTGCAAAAAAAACACGAGTCAGCACACCTGTCTCCTGATTGCAATCTGTGATGATAATGTAACCATGATGCTTGGCCACCGATAGTGTCTTCGTCGCGACATCCATGGCACTCGATTCACCCAAGACCGGGAACCCCTCATTACGCAATTTCTTCCTAAAATTGTACACTTGCCGTCTGTTAACTTTTTCATCAGGAAAGATCCTCTCAATCGCAGCCATGATCTGACACGGTCTGCACCCATCTTTGGACATACCCTGTATAAGCTGTTTCACTCCATCGCTAAGGCCCCTTGTGGGATGATCTTCGTCAAACAGCTCGTGGTTATGCATTCCAAACTCACCAGGATACACCTGAATGCGCCACTTCCCATCCACTAAGTGCACATATAACTTAAATTTACACCCAGTGATTTGTGTCTTCGAATCTGATGTGACATAGTATTCACCATCATCAACTGACACCTTTCCCCCTTTACAGCATCTCATCAGAACAATATTCTTCTTCTTGCTAGAAACTACGTTTATTAGCATACCATTTGCCATGCCCATGCCTTTCACCCAAGCAACAACATCATCTTTTTTTGCAAATTCCTCATCTGTAGCAACAATATACTATAATCTTCACCATCGCCACCAAAATCTTCTAAAGAATCCTGCAAATTAAACATAAAATTACAACAATAAAAAACTGCATCATAATAAATTAAATTAAACACATATTCCAATCATTTAAAAAAGTTATATAATTATAATAAATAATAAAAAACATATATTTACAGTAAATAGATTAATTATTTACTAAATTAAATTTCCCAATACCTACCTAAAAAGCTAGAATTCATTAATTTAGCGATTAATTAAATAGATTAATTATTTACTAAATTAAATACTTATTCCACAAAATTCTTTAATTATTTATTTATTCCCCCCTGAATAAATATTATCTCTAATTAATTAAATCTAAATAGATAAATAAAATTCAACTAATTACATTACTTAACATAACTAATTAAATTAACAAATACAATAATAATATTCCTACTTAATTAAATTAACAAAACATGCAATAAATAAATATAATTCAACTAATTAATTTACTTAACATAACTAATTAAATTAACAAATAAAGTAAAAATATTCCTACTTAATTAAATTAACATAACATGCAATAAATAAATATAATTAAACTAATTAAGTTACTTAACATAACTAATTAAATTAACATAACATGCATGAAATTAAAATTTAAAAAAAACCCGGTTCACTGGCCAGACGCGCAACACACGCGTCCCGGTTGAACCGGGGACGCACAACAAACGCGTCCGGCCAATAAACCGGACGCGTTTGTTGCGCGTCCCCGGTTCAACCGGAACGCGTGTTTAACGCGTCCGGCCATTGAACCGGATGCGTATATTGCACGTCCCCGGTTCAACCGGGACGCGTGTGTTGCGTGTTCGGTCTGATGTCACCCGGACCGGACGCGCAACACACGCGTCCCGGTTGAACCGGAGACGCGCAATGAACGCGTCCGGTTCAATGGCCGGACGCATTTGTTGGGCGTCTCCGGTTCAACCGGGACGGTTTTCTTGTCCAATTCGGTTCCTTTTTAAGTTTTTTTTTTTTCACCTCTGAATGATTCATTTTCTTTCTCTCTCTACTGTATTAAATGACAGGGGCTCGTCCAATTTTTTGTTGGGTGGCTTTGAGTATTAATTTTGGGGGCTTTAAAAATCCATCCCCTTATTCTAAATTTCTTTCTCAATTTTAATAATTGAAGGTCCAAAAGCGCCTAATTTACTTCCAATGGATGAGCGATTACCACTGTCGCTTCGCCATCCATCAAGTGAAATTCTAAATTCAATATCTAAGAACTAATTTGAACTTTAAAGTTTACTAATCTATACCGGAATCGTGAGTGTAGAGTTATCCGGCAAAAATGTTGATCATTTTAAACATCAACATTTTAATTTCCTTCTTTCCTACCATTTTCTTGCCACCTCGATAATTAGTTTATTAATATTTGTCTTTTTTTACATACAATATATATCTTGTTTTGGGGAGATAATAGTATTACCACAAAAACAGATTTAATTTTTACTATTTTTAATTAATTATATTTTTATTCACATATTAATTATTTATATTTTAAAAAACAGAAAAAGATTTCATACATTAACCAAAAGATGGCCAGTTTCAAAAGGGGAAAGAAAAAACTAACAGAAAATGGGGATAAGTTGGGGGGGAAATCAGAAAGTGGGAGGCCCGTTCTTTTTGTCCGCTCAATTGGGTATGTTTAAAGGTGAAATTACAAAATTACTCTTGTTCAGGTAGGGTTCCAACGACGACTAAAAAAAAAAGAATTAATAAAATGCCAAGAGAGTCGAGCAAAAAAAGAAAAAAAAATCACTATCTTAGTTGAAGTTTTG